ATGTTGGTCTGCATTTAGTGAGTCACTGTGGAATTCATTTAACTCACTTCTAGCAGTTGACTATTTCTTCTACGTGCCGCTGGCGAATCTTATATGTGTTGTTCTTGTGCTAGGTATTATCGTTCATTACCAAATTTCGTTTGATTATTCTATTCAGTAACCTTCCCTAGGTTACAACACATATTAATATTCTTGTTCCTTAGTCAGCCAGCCAATACCTCATAAATAATAAACTATTCTGTTTTGGTCAAGAGGAAAGACGGAAAAGACATATAAGAGACGCAGTTTGCTTTCATGGAGAAAAAGAAAGAATGAAAACTTCTAATGTGTTTAACGTCTGCGTCAGTGAAAGTGAAAACCTTCATTTTAATTCCTGCCCTCTTACTTCCTTAAGTAATGACTTGCATTCATCCTTATGATTCCAATATTAAATGTGGTAAGATTAAATATTTATTGATTCAAATAGGGGAATTTCCACTGGTATTTTGTAGTCAGAGACCTCGCAAGGCGCTTATTCAATCATTAACTTAAGAATTATGTCTCGTCTCAAGAGAAAGCTACCCGAGCACGTTTTTACGGGTTCTATGGGGAAATTTTGACCGAACCTACGGATGCCCCACAATAAACTTGGCCTTGTGCCGCATCTAACCGCGTGGGGTGGCTAGTGAATATCTCACCCTAACTTAAGAATTGTGATATATAGCAAATTCAAATAACAAAATTGTGAAATTTTCATGGTTGATTCTAGTAAATTTTATTACCGTACATTGTCATAATTATCCTGTTATATTATTAGAGATTATTGCTAAAAAATTTTATTATAATTAATATATAAAATAATCTTTATCATTAGTACCGTCTATAGTCGCGTATCACGCGACTTTTGAAGACCTCATTTTGAAGCTAATTTTAAGAGAGTCGCATCATCCACGAGATATAAAATTAGCGTATGTACTGTTGTCTCTGGCTATGCCGTTGACCAAACTATACATTCATTTACGGTAATCAAATTAGCTTCAAAATTAGCTCTTCAAAGATCGCATCATACGTGAGTATATATGGTAGTTATGTAAGTCAAGGAAAAAACGAATCATAGTCATAAGAGAGACAACATATTTTGGTCCCGGTATCTAAAGACGAGACAGAGTCAAGGGGTGTTGATTAATGCAATTTTCATGGCGTTAGTGTTATCAGAACATTGAAAGTTCCCGCGAGAATTCGAATTCTCTTGATGTGTATTTGTGTGTATGGGTGGGTGTATATGCGTGCGTGCATGTGTGTGTGTGTGTGTGTGGGAGAAAGTGGGTGGGAAGATGAAGAAATTTTTCTTTCTTTCCTTTGTAGTATTCACGAATCCCGCCATTTTTCGTGTTTGGAAATCGTGCTCCTCTGCTCCATTTGCCAGGTGAGTGAAAGCGTTGATTACGGCGCGGGAATTCGGATGGACAGCTTCGTTATTAAAAAGGCTTCCGTCATGAAGATCGGATTTTGACTGCACGCGATTGATTCCCACTCTTTGGTGAACAACTGTATAAGAAAGAAAGAAAGAAAGAAAGAAAGAAAGAAAGAAAGAAAGAAAGAAAGAAAGAAAGGGAAGAAAGAATAAAAAGGAAAGAACAAAAACAACGAAAGAAAGAAAAGGAGGAAGGGAGATGTCTGTGGAGAAAGGAAAAGAAAAAGAGAAATAAAATATGCGTATAAGAAAGAAAGAAAGAAAGAAAGAAAGAAAGAAAGAAAGAAAGAAAGAACTCGGAAGCTTGGAAAGAAAGAAAGAAAGAAAGAAAGAAAGAAAGAAAGAAAGAAAGAAAGAAAGAAAGAACTCAGAACTCGGAAAGAAAGAAAGAAAAGAAAGAAAGAAAGAAAGAAAAAGAAAAAGGAAAAGCTTGGAAAGAAAGAAAGAAAAAAAGAAAGAAAGAAAGAAAGAAAAGAAAGAACGGAAGCTTGGAAAGAAAAAGAAAGAAAGAAAGAAAGAAAGAAAGAAAAAGAAAAAGAAAGAAAGAAAAAAGAAAGAAAGAAAAAGAAAGAAAGAAAAACTCGGAAGAAAGGAAGAAAAAAGAAAGAAAGAAAGAAAGATTAAAAGGAACTCGAAAAAAAAGAAAGAAAGAAAGAAAGAAAGAAAGAAAGAAAATAAGCGAATAAAGGAAGAAAAAAGGGATTGTGGAGAATGAAAGAGAGAGAAAAGCAAAGAAAATATGCGATCAAAAAACAGAAAGAAAGAAAAAGAAAGAAAGAAAGAAAGTAAGTAAGTAAGTAAGAAAGAAAGAAAGAAAGAAAGAAGTCGAGGAAGAGGATCCAGAATGTGGAGAAAGAAAGAGAAAAAGAAAGAAAAATATGAGGAAAGAAAAGTACTTTTTAATATATCTAAAAATGACATTTTATTATTATTGTTAACGAAAAGAAAGAAAGAAAGAAAGAAAGAAAGAAAGAAAGAAAGAAAGAAAGAAAGACTTTGTACTTCTTTTGGTGGTCCTCTTCCATTTGTATCAAATCTAGGAAATTCCTGTCAGTTAAACGAAACGGCCATTTTCCTTTAATGGATAACATCCTCACAAATCATCGCAAACACATCCGAACGCTCTTTCTTAGTGACTTCGTATACAGCCAAATTTACACTTCAATCTGGCCTTGTCAATTTAATACCAATTGATCCCTTTAATATTCAACTACTGATCAAAAAGACAAATATTAAAACGCCAAGAATTAAAATTATTCCAAACTATATTCAATATGAGATTTACAACCACAAGCATTATAGCGAATTTTGATATTTTAATGTTTCTGCAAATCACCTTCATAACATATTCTCAGAATTTTCTTTTATACTAATGTTCACTCAATCCAAGGCCCAAGAGCCACTCACGATAGATTAATACTGTATGAGTAGATTTGAAAAGGTTAAGCTTCTAGTGAGTCTATTTCGCAAATACATGCTCTCAGAAAAAAAGTTGTCTGAGTGAAACTTCCTCCTTACTAATGGAATACAAAAGCGTGAATCTGGTATGACGGGTTCTAGCTGTGAAGGTTTGAATTCGTGGTATTAAGGAATGTAAAATGTCGAAGACTTATTGAGGGAACAACAGTTCATTGTTACTAGAGACAACTCAGGGTTAGCCCCATCATAATGAAAGATAATAGCTTGATTTGGGGAATATTGAATGTTACCAGACAGTTCCTTACACCATTGAACTATGCCAGAGTTTGCGCCGGCGCCCCCCTTGTGGACTCTGTTATGCTGGAAGGAGGCACTGGGAGTTTTTATTTCATTTGGGATGCGGTGAACATACACGGGTGGGAAGGGAAGGAGACATTTATCCATTTCTTTTTCAATTTTTCAAAAATTATTCAATATTGGATATAAAAGGAAATTTCTGAAAGGTATCTAAAACTGTTGGAAGCTATCACATTTTTCTTCATTGCTTTTTCCAATATGGCTGAATGTGGTTTCAACGCAGTTACACATTTTCTTATTAAATAAAGAAACTGCCTGCAAATTACAAAACGATGAGATCTACGACTACTTCTAAGCAGAATGGAACGTTAGCCAGTAAGCACCAAAAATCAACCATTTAATTGAAAACATTGAGATAAGCTATCAAATAAACCTAGAGTAAGAGCCTTAGCTAGTAAGCACCAAAGTCAACCATCGCACTGAAAACATTGAGATAAGCTATGAAATGAAAGTTTTTGGGGTTTTTTAGCATTTTAATCATTGGTATTTAAAATGGAGTAATAGATATCGGCTCGGATTGAGGAATCGAATTCCAATCGATTCCATTACATTCACTCATCCACCTTGGAAAGGGATGAATCCTCTTCTTCTCCCCCAGCTATGATTAAATGGTAGAACAGACCGGGTTCTATAGCCTTGGATGGCAACTGGTCTACTACAGAAAGAAATGGCAACCTATTGCGGAGAAAAAAATCTGCCTTGTTAGTCATGTATCGAAAGATACATGATCTCATAAGCGTGTATTATGCATGGCACATAACTGACTGACTATAGGCAAACACTAGTCGAGTTTATACTTGAATCATTAGTAAACATTAGTCGTTGTTATGCATGGGCCTATATTGGATATAAAAGGAAATTTCTGAAAGGTATCTAAAACTGTGGGAAGCTATCAAATTTTTCTTCATTGCTTTTCCAATATGGCTGAATGTGGTTTCAACGCAGTTACACAGCTTCTTATTAAATAAAGAAACTGCCTGCAAATTAGAAAACGATGAGATCTACGATTACTTCGAAGCAACATGGAACCCAGAGTAAGAGCCTTAGCCAGTAAGCACCAAAGTCAACTATCGTATTAAAATCTTAACCAAATATGAGATGGATTGAAGTAGTTGCCACCATTTTTTATATTTGTCTGATTTCACTAATTTTCCCTCTGAAAGTTCTCCACTGCCTTAACCAGTTATTGAACTCACACTCTTTGGGTCTTGTCACTGGATCTAACCAACGCCTTTATCCACTGTGCCAAGGGAAAATTAACAGGAGATAACTGATAACTGACATCCATTAAACATGGCACGTGGAACTAGAACAGTCTACCCCAGTGAGCGAAATAAAGGGTTCAGTTCGATATTCCAACCACCTGAAGAAGGCCGGAGCGTACAACGACCGAAACGTTGTGATAAATATGGCGACAAAGATGAGGACAATAGTCCGAATAATGTAAATAATGTACATAATACCTCATCTCAGAAATAGAGACAGACTTTGACTGAGTTTATTAAATATCTATTCACTCTACTAATGATTACTTACATCAGGTGTATGTGAAAAGAATACAACCGCGTTGAATAACTCTATAATTAATCATGCACACAATAGATCAAAATTACTGCGCATATTTTCGCTTGCTAAAGATCACCCAGTACAAGGCCCAAAAGCCACTCAAGGTAGAGAGAGATACTGAATAAAGTGTGTGTTATGAACGTAAGAATAGGAATTAAGGAGGGAAGATTACGAGGAAATGGCGGATAGATAAGAATTGACCCTAAACTTGAAGATCTGAAGATTAGAGTATTCGAGGAAGCATCGACGTTGCAGTATGTTCTTAAGAAACGTCGGAAGGGAACGCGTTTCTTCTTACCTTTTCGTAAGGGATGGGGGGGTGATTTAACCCTGTGGGGGCCGCAAGCTGGTTCTGGACTATGGAAGTCTGAGTTGATGACACTAACAATGGAGCCTGCCTAAACATTTGCCGTGGAAACAGCGATGGAGTTTCGATAGGCTTACGACATTGGGTCTGTGACAAGGCCATACTTATAACAGGCCAGGCCATCACACTTTTCGTATCAGTAACTGAGGGCAAGTTTTCGCTGTTACCAGATCATTTTTTAGCTGGCAACTTTTGACTTTCATTGAGACGATACATAGCGAATTCATTCTGAATGAAAATTCTTACCTATCAAATTTATTTCAGTTGAGGCTCTGCATTTTATCATAAATTATATTTGGATTATTATAAGTTTCTGAGTAAAAAAAAAACAACTCAAAATTGAATTTTATTAAGATCTATTTTTTCGCCATTATTAATTTTATTACACTATCGTATTCCTCACTGTTTTCATGTACTAAACAACTATTATAGCGATTTTTCATAGCTTAGATGTGACACAAGGCCAGAAGTATGAAGGATGGAACTCGGTAGCAATTTTTCTAGCGAGACAAACTTACTAACCATTACACCTCCTCGGAGTGCACAAAGGATTTCCTAAGCACAATTTAGATGTGACACAAGGCCGAATCATAGGGCATCCAGTGAGGATTGAACTCACTATACAGTCCTAATGAGACAAGCTTGCTAACCATTACACCAGGTCAAGGTGCCTCTGTCAAGTATTATAAATTTGCGATTTTTGTTGGATTGAAATCTCTTAGAATATCGGAAATAATTTGTTCAAATGTTTTTTCTTCATAATAACAGTAGTATATGTTTAAGAAATACTCTTTGAAAGTTTTTAAAATGACGATTTTTCAACTAACCATCCACCGTATTTTAAAATCTTTCAAACAATCTTGTTCCAACTTTATTAACAACTATTTTAATTTTAATTCCTCACATCTGCTATCCTGTTTCATATATTCAGACTAGCAGCATGACCCGGCGTTGCCCGTGCTTGATTCAAAAATATACGACTCATACAGCAATTGCTATCACTTGACTTAAAATATTTTTCCCCTTCCTTGCCTTTAAAGGAGTGCCCTTTGTCGTGTTGATGTTGCTACATGCCTTACTTCTTGCCTATCTCATACTGCGAATTTTTTCTAAGCACTATACTAAACATTAAATCTGCTACGAAAAAAGAACTAAACAAAATGAAAGCAAAACGATCAGCTTTAAAAACGGACTCGTAACTGGAAAAACCGAATGAAAAAAGAATGTCAACAACAAATGCTTTTCACCCAACCCAGTTCTGCGGAATCAGAATCAATGTTGAGTTTAAGCAAGCGAATGAGCCAATTGGAGTAAAGTGCCATGCAGATTTAAATTTTTCCCACTTGTGACGAATGCAGCTATCGATTTTTTGCATGCTAGCATGCTAGTTAACATTCGTGTCAGTCAGCTGTTGGCTCTCACGCTGGCCAATATAATCTTCCTGCCTATTCGTGGCAGCCAGCTATAGGCTCTCACTCTGGCCAGTAGAAAATGGCCGCAAACTACATGAAAACTGCCATAGAAGCATGAAATAATCGATTTTTTCCACTATTGACGGGAGTTGGGAAATGCAAAGTCGGTCTTGGGCTTCCCGCTAACTTGGAGCATGTGCATGTAAATTTTGGTGCAAAGCCGTCGAAAATTGTGGCCGTGCATTCGTTACACACATACATCCTGCCCTTTATAGATAGAGATAAAATTTGATACAATAATTTTTTGTATGAACATTTTTCTTTACAATAATACGTGTCCGTTGAACAAAAATTGTTTTGAAGTTTTAAAAACTCCTTCCTTTGAGATAGCATCTTCACGATTTTGAAAGAATACTGACTGTTTAAACACCTAGTTGCTTAAAACCTGAAAATTTAATTTCTGTTTTATATATTCCGAGAAACTTTAATCTAATAATCTTTTATTAAGGTTTATATTCATATTAACAGCGTGGCTGAATCAAGAATTTTTTTCCATTTTAGAAATATGTTTTTGTTGAAGTTACAGTCGAAAATCTGAAAATTGCTCAGTGTTTTAATGTACTAAACTACTGTTATCTATTATAAATTTGTAATTTTTGTTGGATTGACATTTATTAAAATATAACATAATTTTTTACAAATGTTTTCCTTTATAATAACAGGAGCATATATTTAAGAAATATTGTTTGAAAGTTTTAAAAATGAGGCTTTTTCAACTAAGCCTTCACCGTATTTTACAATCTCTCAATTTTGTTCCATCTTTATTAACAACTATTTTAATATCCCATATCTGCTATTCTGTTTGATATATTCAGATAAATGTTGATATAATAATTTTGTATGAACATTTTTCTGTACAGTAAGAA